GGTTGTGGTGTCGCGGTACTTCCAAGCAAACAGAGCTCTAAAGGATGTGATCGATGGTAGTAACTCTGCTTCTGCAGCCTGTGGAAAGTACCCACACCAGTCAGCACACAAGTAATTATACTTTAACTTGAGATAGACCCAGAATGATATTCGTATCTGTTCAGTTGAGGAGTGAGGCTGAGAGAGAACCAAGAGACGTCAGAAAATCAGGCTATTCTAAACCTTGGTGTGAAAATAGTGTAATTCCATTTGTGTGAACTCCTGCTGATAACTGGTGTCTCGTTTCACAAATTTAAGGTTTCAGCACTTTGCTATCAATCATCAATATTTTTTGCTGAGTTATCTTTGAGAAAAGGACTCTTTTACTGGTATTTGCGAGACTTTACTTCCTTTTGAATAGAAAGCCTCAGGTTATTTTGAGGAATATGGTGATAATTTACCCAAAGTAATGTTAACTATATATATTATTTAATAACATTCTCAGTTGCATGTCATTTTCTTGTAATTTGTATGAAGAATACAAGCAGTATCTTTAAAATAGTTTTTAAAAAGTACTTTAAAATTCTTGTGTGTGCATCAAATATGAAAATGCCATAGATTAATAAACATTTGAGATTATTTTTGATCATTATTTATTTAATTTTATTTCTGTTGGGTAGTGTTATATCAAATGTTTAAGTTCAGTACATAATGAGATAAAGTAAAAAGCTCCTTATGCTCAGTCTTTGTAATATGTGACAGAGAAATGACTGTTGATTTCTACTTTTAAAGAAAATAAGATTTGTATGTAAACAATTTAAAATAAAGCATGTAATTTGCTTCCAATTATATATTATATAAAGCATTAGTAATGGAAGCAAATTAGGCATGATTTTTATTTATACATTATCAATTGGGAAAATTGGCCCTTCACCAAACGTAGCCCTCACTCTGCAAATGTTTGTTTACTTCCTTACCTTTAGACATCTAATTAATCCTCCTGAAGTCAGGGGGACAAATTCTGTGATTGCAGTTTACCAGCCATAACTGTCTACAGATTTGGAGGTCAAACAGAGACTTAAACTTACCCTGGAAAGCATACAGAGAAAATGTAATAGGGTGCCAAGGCGACACTGGGGTTGCAGAACACTGTGCAATACTTCCTTGCCAAATACACTGTGAATTTGTCAGACTTGGCTTTTGGTTGTGAAGGCTGAACAGTTGTCCAGTACCCTTTGCTAGGTAAGCAAGCAGGTGTTTATATCTTCATTTTACAAATGCAGGAGGTGGTTTGCTGAAGGCTGCAGATTCAAGAACCTGTTGCTGGAGCAAAGGTTAGAACAGAGCAGCTCTTGGTTCCTGATTCTGCATTCAGTTCACAGCAAAGTGCCATTCTTTGAGAAAATTTGTGGAAATATGTACATTAATTATAAACAAGTAGCTTATTGAGTCCAGTATGTATGCACTGGTAGACAATGAGTATTAGAGGAATAATAACTAATCCTATCTGACGGTGTGCAAGACTCCTTACAGTGCTTTAGAAATACTAACCCATTCTGTAAAAGATTGGTACACTGTGTAGCTCTTGCTACATAGAACCGCATCCCCAACAGAATTAGGTATGCAGTACCTGATTTTCCCTGGGATCTTTCATGTATTGTTTGTATTATTTGTTGTCAATTGTTTCACTGGAATGAGTTTATCAGGTAGATAATGGACAGACACTGTATTCTGCTTTTCAATTTATAAATGAACAAATAACATTTCTATTTCTTAAAAGTGGAATATGGATGATAGATAAATTCTAAATTTCTATTTTTGTGGGTCAGCGTTGCCTATGTAGATAATAGCACAATAATATTATTATAATTATTTCAATGGTATGAAATGCTGTTGGGTTTGGTTTTTTTAAAATACAAACACTTACCAGACAAGGCAGTGATGGCCTCTGCTGCCTTTGCCACTTGGGCCTGATGGTACAGGATAAGAAGTGAAGGGGCTCTCTGAGGCAGAGGCCACTAAGGCTGTAAACAGGTTTCAGTGGAGGATGTATCAGGCCCAGAGGGTAAAGGATGTGACAAGAGCAGTGGTACTTGATATACAGAAAAGACTGGAAGTAGATTTTGGTAGGGAGACAGCTTTTTAGAGATTCCATCACAAAACATTCTAACACATTTCCAGAGTGTTACCTTTACACATGCGGATTTTTCTTTATTGAAAACATTTTATGGCTATCCAAGTACCTTATAGGAGAAAAGAACTTTAAAAAAACAAGCTATCTTCAACCCCATCTTTTATAATCAAATCTGCTTCAGTCTAGCTGAAAATTGTATCTGCAAATTGTCCTATATATCAGCCTATCTTGATTTTTTCCCAACTGTCTGTATGCATAAGTGCAGCAATAGTCATAAGGTATATGCTCAAAAGTTTGTGAAATCTTTATAGAAATTATAAAGTACAACATTGAATTTTAAGGACTCAATGTAAGAAGTACCTTTCCTAGTCCATTATTTTATTGTTAGCGAAATTTTCTTGTAGGAAAACAATGCTTTGAAAGTGAACCCATAGAATAGGCAGCTGTAATTTTGTAACTAACAAAGTATGTATTTAGTATTTGTGCCATTATATATTCAGTAAATAATGATATTCAGTAAAAAATACTGAATATCAGGGGTACCGATTTAAAAAAAATCCCAAGAAAAAATGTGAAAAGATATTCTGTAAATGAAAAGAATACTTTACTGTAGGAGAAATGCCTTTTATAAAGAGAATGAACAAAAAATAATGCAAGGTAATCTAAAAGCCTTCATCTCAACCTTTGTCCCTTTCATTCTTTGCCCAAAACTCCTGGTCTGTGCATTTTGAAATCTTTCTCTTCTTCAAGCTCTCACAAGCTGATGATAGAAATCTACAATAACTCCTTTCTTATCCTTCATATACATTTCAGAAATATAGGCAAAGAAAGAGTCATTCCTCTACAAACTGGAAGTCTCTGCCTGCCTCAACCACCTTCCAAAGCTGCCATGACTGCCAGTTTTTGCCTATTTATATGATTAGAAGCTTAATGATACAGCCATTGCATCCCTTCTGAAAAATATTCAGAAGTTGTATCTTTAGATAGAGCTACAGCCCCTGAGTAAATGACACGTTTAGAGGATGTCGGTCAGAGATAAAATTGTACTTTGGATCTTAACTGTTTCTTTTCAGCTCATGCAAGATTCACATTGACTTGGACAATAAATGACTTAAGATCTCTAGATTGATGACCCATTCTCTAAGAAATAACTTTGTTTCCAGCATATACGTCCCTGTGTTTCAAACATTTTTAGATGTTTGGCTTCATGGAAATAAAAATTTAAAGCTACAGATGTCTATCCATAGTTTATCAAGCTATTTTCAGGCTTTTCTTATAAAAAATCCAAATTAGTTTCTTTTGATTATGTTTGAATTGTTGCAGTAGTAGGATGGAGGGCATTGAACCAGACATTCTCTACCTGAAGCTTTATCCTGGTTGTGGCAGAAAATTTATGCCCTTCAGTCTTTATGTAGGATCTTTGTTGTCCATTTCTATGCTGGAATCTTTAACAATTTTTATAATCTGAAATATGTAGCTGAGTGATGAGACAAGGCTGAGAAAACGCTATTTTGAAGGAATGGCTGAGTGCCTGCGATTTCTGTGATGTTCAGGACTATATATCTGTGTTTTAATCAACTGACTGTAAATGAATAAGCATGCCTTTGTATGATTAATGAAAACTGCTGTTTTTAAAATTATGGTAATATATGTATGTTAAAGATTTAGACTGTTCTGTATAGCTATTCAAGTTTGCTATTAGTATGAGCAGCACTGCACTGAGTTCGGAGTGTTTGCTGTACTGTACAACCCTCAGCTTAAGGAACCTTACTTTTATTCAGTGATGGTACAAGGATACTCCAAAGTTAAGTGAGCATGATTCAGCTTTAAACATCATGCTATATTTCCAATTAACCATTGTCATTTACATAAACCCAAATGTTTTGATAGGAAAAGCAATTGCTGTAGACAAAAAAAATTCAGACTTCATACAGATCAGTTCAATAAGCAAGAGTTCTTGGCATGTTATAAGGCAGTGGCTTCCCAGCTCTTGGGACAAATTGCAGTTTGATCGACTGCCAGTAAGTGAGGTCATACTCGTATCTTTTTTATTTGTTTATTTTTAATTTGTGGGTGAAGACTGTGCTCATTAAAGTGAGGAACTCCACACTAGTTTTAGCCAAGTGTTACCATATTCTATATGATGAATTGTGTACGCTTGTATCCTTTTCAGTCAGTCATCTAATTTTCCTTGGAATTGCACAAAATACTTTTATTATTAATTATTTTTCCAGTTGGTACTATTTATATTTCTGGTACAAACCTGAATTTGGTTACACTCATATAGTAGATGCTTTGTCCTTTCTATGTGGAAGGGAACTTGTTGCCCTTTTTTGTTCATTTGTTTGGCTTTGTTTTGACAGGTAAGAGAAATAATTGACCAAGCAAATGGATTAAAGTTATTCTCTGTATTTTGGGATATATAATGAGTCCAATGAATTTGAAGTACTTTTCTATTGTTCCAAGTACCTTTATATTGTTTTCTGGTCTTACCATAGAGTAGAAAATATTTTCATTATCTATTTTAAGCAAAATCAGTAAGTTTTTTCTTTGTTTCTTATTTGTTAATAGTGACATTGCCCTTGCTTTTCTCCTTCAAATTCTGATGGATTAATTATTGAGTTTATTAGAGAAGTACTGAGAAGATCTGTTCTGGTGGCAGATAGATACCAGTGGCTTAATGCCTTGGCCACAAGGCTAAGCAATATCAGATTGCTGAAGCCTGTGACAGTTAAAATATCCAGATTGTGTCTCTAAATGTTTTCACTTTTGAAAATGTAAACTTTTAGCATTAATGCTGCCATTACCAGAATGTTGCTGGCATTGCTCCTGTGTTAGAAGATGATTACTGGACTCATTCCTGACATGTAACATTTCTTTTTTTTAGGGAGGTGGGTGGACTAACACAGAGCTCACTGCTGAACTACTGAACTTGGGTAAGTTCTGTTGCCTTCGTCGGTACTATGTGGCTTTCAAAATATGGAAAGAGTTGATGGAGAAATCATCTGTGTAGTTCACATTACTAGAGGAATTTGTTTATTATACTTTGCACTAAGGTTGTTCCTATTTTTGTGTGCCTGGTAAACAGTTTGATTTTTGATTGCCTTCAAGCCTTTTCAGATGACCTTCATGGAACTTTTTATTTTGATTTCTACCAAGGTGTTTTTTAAGTTATTCCTGCTTTGTCACTTTGTGAAAACATACAAAATGCACCTTAGCTTAGGGGACTATCACAGGTGCTCTGAACCACCTAACACTTCATAATAAATGCATTTCCCAGATAGAGACTAAAAAAATCTGTTGAGGGTCTTGGTGTATCTTACTTCTACCTCGATGGAGAGCTAATGCTTTAGATCTGGCCTATTGCAAATAGAAAGAAAAAGAATTGCAGTGTAATCCAGGTATTGCTTCTTCACCTAGTCATACACACATTTCCTACCTTTCTGTCCCAGCATTATGACTGTTTCCTTCATCCTTTCTGGTTCTTCCACTCTAATAAAGATGATCCAATGTGGTACCCTAAAAGCATTATTTTCCCCTTAATGAAATGCCACACTTTCTTCTACATAGTGCAGGAGAGTATGTTTGGAGCTTTGGTGGACTGCCAGCTCCATTTGCTGTGTGGAGGGGGAGGAAATGCACAGAAGTACAATCCTTTTCAAGGCTTTCATTCCCTACAGAATGTATTAACAAGTCTGAAAGCAGCTGTGCTTGCTCCATCTGTACAAATGGTACATCCAAAAGTGTAGCCATCCCTCTCCTTGCCATGAGTTTCAGTCTCACTACATAATTACAGTTCCTTCTCTAGACTCTGGCAAAAATGAAACTTAAAGAGCAAATCAGAAAATTTTAGAAAGTTAGGAAATTAGAGACAATCAAATGACTGTGAACTGGACTTTCATTACTCCTTATTTCTAACAACATGCATAAAATTGCAGAGAATAAAGTAGAAAACTTAAACTCCCATTAAAGACATTTTTTCACTACATATATGGTTGACTAATGTGAAATACATGTTTAAGTATGCTCTTTCTGTAGTTTCCTTGTCATACATCTTGATGTCAGCAACATCTGCAATGGAATTGCAATGCGGATCAATGCAGATTATCACCAGTTAATAAAGAGTCAAATGTGTATTTTAGGTAGCTCAATCTCTTCCATTTGTTTCTATGGATAATCTACTCATATGTTTTCAATAGCAACTTACATTAAACACCAATGTTATGTACAGCATGATGTGAATGACTTTATTACTGGCATAGCATTTGCTTGTCAGAGGTCAAATCCTACAGCTTGGTCTCCTCTTCTGATCTGAGCTACAAATATTCCTTGTTTATTTAGCAGTGCTCTGAGGAATGATTTGAGCTATCATTTTGACATAGATCTCGCAAGAGGAATACTCTTGACTTTATGTGCATCCTTAAAACCATGAAGAATAATGTGAAATTATTCAGTTCAGGGGATCATTCCTTAAACATTGATTCTCAGAGTGAATGAAGATCATGAGGGAATCTTTCCTCTTAACAGTGTCATTTTATGTCATACCATAAAAAAAGATCAAAATTTCAATAATTTCAACTGGAAGTTTTTGGATGCACTGCTGACTCATTAACTGTAAACTGTACTTTTCAGAACGATCTCAAAGATGTCCAGAAATTACAACAGAAGAAAAGGAAATCATATTCCCCAGCCCCAGGGGCAATTTTGAAAATATAATTCTAGTTACTATTGGATCTTATTAACAATACAGAGTTTCTACCTTCCTTTGTTACCACAAGAAATACTTTTTCTGAGAGCACTGTTTCTGAAGATGACATTTATCCCTGATTGATTGCCTTTGAGATGGTGGCACTTTTGATTTTATGGAAATACTAGAGGACTTTGAACATTGAGCTTCAGAAAGACTGGGGTTGAACAAATAGATAGGACACCAAGACCTACAAGGGTGCAAACTGGATAAATGAAGCAGATTATGTAGATTTTGAGTAGGGGAAAGATGTCATGCCTCGGTCTCTGCAAGTGGTCCCTACAAGGCTACTGGCTTTGTTTAGTTCTGAACAACAGGTCATCATTTGCTATCAGTCCAGCAGCCATGATAGAACTAGGCCCAGCAGTTTAACATTTAGTTAGTGCCAGCTTTATTTTTTATGTGAGCCCTTGAAGTGCTCTCACGGTAAGTGCAAACACTTCAGGTGAATATTGTGGAGACAAACAGCCTGCTGGTTTCAAGGAAGTGCTTTTAGGATGTTTTTTTTGTGGTAATTTGTGGGCTCAAACTACCTGATAATCAGTTTTATATCAGTGTAACTTTCCCCTGGTACCCAAAAAAATTTGCCCTCCCACCTGTGTTTAAAGGCACTTGGAAAAATTGGCTGGGGCCTTCTGTAGAAATGTCATGTACATAGCAAAGCTTTTTGTATTTGTAGTGGTAGCAGGAGCAGAAGTACAGAAATTCCTTTATTTCTTAGTAGTAGGGTTCTTATAATTATTATTAATTATAATTAGTTTTCAGTACGATAAGAATTACTAGTAAAATCAGTAATCATTGCATCTTCAATGGAATATATTTGTAGTTGCTGCTATCCTGTGTGTGAACAAATGATGTATTTGGTCTTAGAGTAGCACAATGTCCCTGTGGTTATAGCTGCCTAAATATACACTACCTGCATGTGTGTAGTGCCTCTGGCTCCCCCAAGAGCAGCAGGGGATACAAATGCATGTGTTCTTCAGGGATATGTCAGGACACCAGAATATAACATCTTACTGAGTTAACGGGCGCTTTGCTACATTCGACGAGCCTGAAATAGGAAAGGAAAAGAATGATCAGACTCTGTGTTGTGTTGTTTGCAAGTCTTTATCTTTGCCAGGACATAGAAGTTATCAGAGCTCAGTGGACTTTTTGTGGGCACTGAGTCTGAACGTGCAATAATTCAGTGTGAAACCAGCATTGCACAAGCATTGACAATATGGAGCAAAATACACTTAGATTAAAAATTAAACAAGATCAGGAGTTTTTCTTGCATACACTGGGCCTAGCCATTTCAGAGATGAAAATAAGCAGATTTCTGAGGTTCTGAATGCAAATCATGATGGAACCATTTGAATTTACAAAATGAATAAATAAAATAGCCCCAAATGAAGCCCTGCTTGAAGGACTGAACATGCCAGTAGCAAGTTCTGCTTTGGACTTCAAGAGATAAAGTACGTTTAGCCTGTATCAGTGAGTGTAATTTATTCAGTGTCACTGCCATATCACAACCTTCTGTTTGATTTTCTTATAAACTAATAATTTCCTGAATGAACTAATACTGCCACAGCCACTAGTACCTCTGCCTTGTAGAAGTTTTTTATTGTTGTGTATGCAACTAAATTGAAATATCTTTCACTTGAAATATTGACTTTAATATCTCATTTGAAAAATTCATGAAGCCTTTGATGTTAAATCCATACTCAATTTAGCCAAATGCCATTAGAATATGCAATATGCCTGAATACAGAGAGCATTATTGTCTGTGTTTCTGCAGAAGAATTACATTTTATGACTGTAACGTCAGGATCTTTTTTGGATTTGTTCATGAAGAAAAGAAAGGGAAGGGCAGAACATTAGAAGCAAAATGAAAAGTGGTATTGATTAGGCTCTCATTTACCCTCTCTTTACTTGAATCCTTAAATGCATGGAAATAAGGGTTGTGCCACAGCAAGTAACAATGCTTTGTAATGAATGGAACAATCTTTAGAAAATTAGTGTAAACACGTATGATAGTGCACAGATGTTGCTCCTAGTAACTGTCGTACATTTATTTTACATCTCCATTTACATACATCTCTTTATTTCCTAATAGTATCATAATAGAAACATGACAATAGTTAATGATTTCATAAAACATGGAATGTAAAGCTGACAGAGAGGTAGAACATTAATTGAAACCTATAGCTATAGTACATTAGAATTACATCTCCTAAATGACTCTTGATAAAAATATCCCTCTTTCACAGAGAAAGACAAAGACAGGTAAAAAACTAGGCTTTCAGCAAATTAATTTTTTTTTCCCAGTAAAACAGAGACTGGCAAATGTTGCAAAATCTCCTGAGTGCTAATAGAATGGTATTTGCCTTTAGTAATTTATGGGCACTTTTCCCCCAGCTATCGATCACATTTGAAAAAAGTAAACTGCATTAACATTTTAGGCAATAATGGCTCCAGAAAATGTTTGATTTTTATCACTACCAAAACTGATGTCATGATACTTGGTTCTTCAGCAGATGTGGGAGAGCTGAGTGCATCCAGTCTGTAGTGTGTTTATACAAGTGCCCCAGTCTGACCGAACAAACTGGATGTTAACCAATGTTTTGAGCTTGTTATGTTATCTTAAAACGTAAAAAGTAAGTTGATGGCACAAGTCAGGAGACTGCTGTGTTTTAGTGTAATGAGGTGCCCAGAGAACCTTGGGGTCTATGAGAATTAAAATCACCATGATAAAGGGAGTGAGGGAGAGCTGCTCTCTGCCACCATCTCCTGGCCAGTCTCTGGGACACAAACCGCCTCTGCTTCATCTCCTGCCAGCTTTGCCAAGTCTATTGCCTCAACCGAGAGGACAATCACAGCCGTTTGAAGCAAACTCACTCATACTGGAAAAATAACATTTTTTTTTAAAATTTCCAAAGGGCATCTGGACCTTAACAACCTCATGTAGATGTATATTGAAGTGGACAGTGCAAAATGCCAGACTAAGGGAGCTGAAAGCTCTGTGAATAAATCCAGAGCATTAGTGCCTAGGATTTTATGCTTGGAATAGGGAGAAAGTGTTGTTTTCGTCTGTGCTGATGACTCATGTTGTCAGATAGTCCTGAATGCTCTAGAAATGTCTGTTACACTGAATGGTGACTGGACTTGAATTCCTGCAGAATATTTATATGTTACGAGAGGAAACAGCTA